GAGAAGATGAGAAGATTGTACCACAGATCTGTTTGTGGCTGGTTATTTGTGGGCGAGAAGATGAGAAGATTGTGGTTGCTTTTAAATATTTTTTTATTTGTGGTCTCTGACTTTCCTGTGGTGGCCACACATGCGTTTATATGGAAGTGTGTGCTTTATTTAAAATGCAAACATATGTAGTTTGGCTTTAAAATTTCTATAGGGGGAAACCGTAGAAACACGGCAAAGGACATTAGTAAGCAGTTTCTGTAAGGAGACACCTTGTTTGCTATCCTGTGTGAGCAGGGATGTTTGAACATAAAAGTGGTAGAAGAAGTGCAAATATATTGTCAATGGAATGCTGTCCTGTGCCCATCAGATTGGCAAGAAAGAAGGGAGAAAGAAAGAGAGTTCTGATGGGAGGCTGCACTGGCTGATCCATCCTGGAGAGTGAGTTTCAGGGCCGTTCTGGAGAGCACATTTAGTAGCTTTTTCTGTGGTCATCTATCAGTTCAGCTCCCAGGAATACAAATTTTTATCACAGAGTTATCTGTGGTACCAGAAAGCAGAGATCACTGAAGGTCCATCTCTGGGGAGAGGGGATCAGTAAATTGTGGTCAATGGCCCCTGCAGCCCCAGTTAGAAATAGGTGTGCAACTAGCAATGTGGTTAGATGTGAAAAGGTCTATAGTGCAGGTTGCCAGATAAAATACAGGGTGCCAGTTAAATTTGAAATTCTTATAAGTAGTGAATACATTTTGAAAATAAGTATATCCCCAATATTTGCTCAATCTGGCAACCTTAGCCATAGAACAATAGAATTTATGAAAATTAAAGCTATGTACATAGGCAAGTCAAAATAGTATATTCCATAAGAATATATATTAACACATTTATAGCTATTGCATTTGTGGGAAGGATGAGAGGAATAAAAAGAAATATATACTACCCAAATAAAGTCGTAAAGTAAGAGAGGGCTTGAATAGACCAATATTGATAGTGAGCTAAGTTTGATTGACTCAATTCTCCATACCCAAGTCCAAAAATAATTTTTTTTTTTTTTTTTTGAGATGGAGTCTCACTCTGCCACCCAGGCTAGAGTGTAGTGGCATGATCTTGGCTCACTGCAACCTCCGCCTCCCGGGTTTGAGAGATTCTCCTGTCTCAGCCTCCTGAGTAGCTGGGATTACAGACATGCACCACCATGCCCGGCTAATTTTCGTATTTTTAGTAGAGACAGGATTTTACCATGTTAGCCAGGCTGGTCTCAAACTCCTGACCTCAGGTGATTCTCCCACCTCAGCCTCCCAAAGTGCTGGGATTACAGGCATGAGCCACCACACCTGGCCCCAAACAGAAATTTTTAAAAACCTTTACTGTGGTCTCCTGGAATTTTTTAACTAAAGTCCTGATGACACTGCCTGGCTGATAAACAGAATATTCTGTTCTACAAAAATTTCCGTATGGAGTACCCTGGTACTTCTATCAAAATTAAGCAGCAGAAAAGTGAGCAGGTGGGAGAGTGGGTAGGTGACATGGGGCTTGGGGAACTAAAGAAACATTTAATAATTTTATAAAACTAGTAAAATCTGAAACTAGTGAACATTGGTACGCTTAGATTTGCTCTTTTTTTTTTTTTTTTTTTTTTTTTTTTTTTTTTTTTTTTTTTTTTTTTTTTTTTTTTTTTTGTGCACAATCTTGGCTTACTGCAACCTCCGTCTCCTGGGTTCAAGCGATTCTCCTGCCTCAGCCTCCCGAGTAGCTGGGGATTACAGATACCCACCATCATGCCCAGCTAATTTTTTGTTCTGTTTTGTTTTTGTTTTTAAGTAGAGACGGGGTTTCACCATGTTGGCCAGGATGGTCTCGATCTCCTGACTTCGTGATCCACCCACCTTGGCCTCCCAAAGTACTGGGATTACAGGTGTGAGCCACCGCGCCTGGGCAGATTTACTCTTTTAATAGAGGAACACGCTTACATTCTTATACAGTAAATATTAGTAAAAGAACATCAGTGAGCACCAATCCTTAATAGTTATCATGGACATAGCCAGAAAAATAAAGTTTAAATTTACCCATTGGAAAATGATGGTTCAGTACATGTCACCGAGTCACTCTTACTCCTTTAAAAGCTTTTTCTTTTTTGATATTACAGCTGATTACAAGGAGAGCTTTAATACAATTGGAAACATTGAAGAGATTGCATATAATGCTGTTTCCTTTACCTGGGATGTGAATGAAGAGGCGAAGGTGAGTGAAAAATAGCATTGATTCATTGTTCATACCTCTTCATAACATGCCCATCCTCTGCAGTCTATTGTTTTTTAAAAGCCTCTATCTGTAGCCTCCTATTAAAAAAGAAAATGAACCTTTCATCTTTTGCGTTTGTGGAGGGTAAGGGAGAAAAGGGAGTGTGCTCCTCTGTGGCTTCCCATAGAATGTCATGAGCCAAGCTATGTGTCCCACCCAAATCCTTCAGGCCCTAGGCTTCATTTTGGCTCTGGGAGCTGGGAAGATGGGGCCAGAAAACCTTTTCTCCCTGCAGTGCAGATTCCCCCAAAGGTCTCTCCATGCAGCCTCCTCCAGGCACAGGGAAGAGCTCAGAGCTGATGTCTTTGTAGGTAAACTAGTGGGCAGACCCGTGACCCCACAGCCCCTTCCAGGCTGAAGCTGGTTGAAGGACAGAATACAGGAAGCAGGCTGCAAGTCTCTAAGCACTATTGATGAAGGTGCAACCACCACTGTGCCCTTCAGCCACTTGTTTCATATTGGCTGCTTGACCTTTTTCTGTTTTCTGGGGTACCCACATGCTTAAGAAGTACAAAGGTAAAATCTGTGGCAAAGTGAGCCCTGAGAAAAGACGTCCACCATTGCACTGTTTGGTTAAAGGAAGGTGGAGTCACTGATACCTGGATTTGCTTTCCAGTCACGAGTCTCTTTGGTTTTATGAAAACCCCAAACTGTTCTGCTAAGCTCACCCTCCTTTCTGTGTTCCTTAGCTTCTGATCCTTGATTCTTATTTTGCACTCAAGGGAAGGTGCCAGATCAAACCTAAGCTTGTTTTCTACTTCAGCTCTGGACCATCTAGGAGGGTGTTAGAAGAGGTTGTCTTCAAACTAATGAAAAGGTCAATGTACACTGCTCTGGTCAATGCTTTATTGTCTGTGAGCAGGGGGAAGGCTGGGTGAGAAAGGAAATGGGTTGGGAGCTTGCAGGCATGGCTACAGAAGAAGAATTGCCCAGTGTCTCATTTCACTCAAGTATAAAACAATGCAGAATAGGTCTGAGAAAGGTGGCCCAAATGGGCAAGTGGTGATAGAGCACCTGTACAGCCTGGAGAAGGTTCCGTGGCTCAGTGCCTCCCAGAAAGGATTCAGGCCTGCCATGGGGTACAAGTTTGGTCCCACGGAGAACTGTAGGCAAAGGTGACTCTAAGGTCCACTCCTCCTTCATTTAAAGTTCCTTGCCCAAGCCATGTGCTTTTGGCACTTCGTTAATCTCCTCGGCTACCTGAGCCCCGTTCTCCCTGCCCCTGCTCTCTCCTGAGAACATTGAGCTCCTGTGCTCAAGACTGCCTGCACCTTCCCCACATCCCTGCCTGGCACCTCCTTAGTCCAGCCAATGCTTGCCCCTTCTCATCATGTGCTGTTCTCTCAGAGGCTACTTTGCTGGACCTGATCAGTAACAGGCAGTCTGTGATGGCACAGGACTAGGATGGCCACTGTGTCATCCTGAGCAAGTCATCTGACCTCTCTGGGCCTCAGTTCTCGTGTGCAGATAAACACACAGATGTCCAAATGTATCTACTGCAGCCAGTGTCATGCTGAGGGCATACAGCATGACTATCCAGTGCTCTGGGGAGGGAGGCCTGAGAACCAGTAACGGAACAACAGTTCAGTTGTTGTTCCGTTACTGGTTCCCAGGAGAGGCAGGGTCTATGTCAGAGGCCCTGGGAAGAAAGTATGATAGTGTAACTGGAAGTGTCTTAACAGTGTTAAAGGTCCAGGCATGGTGGCTTGTGCCTGTAATCCCAGCACTTTGGGAGGCCAAGGTGGGAGGATCCTTGAGGCCAGAAGTTGGAGATAAACCTGGGTAAAGTAGGGAGAACCCATGTCTACAAAATAAAAAATAAAAATTAGCTGGGCATGGTGCATGCATCTGAAATCCTAGCTACTCAGGAGGCTGAGGTGGGAGTATTGCTCAAGCCCAGGAGGTAGAGGCTGCAAACAGTAATCACTGTTGCTGTACGCTAGCCTGGGTAACAGAGTGAGACTCTGTCTTACACACATACTCCACCAACAAATGTAAGGCAAGCTATAAATATGAGCTGTAATCATCATAATTTTTATTATCACACCATCTGTGATAAATGAGTGCTAGGGGGTGAATGTTTTAACTGTTCTGTTTCAATAAGGACCTTTTATAGAAAATGCCTAAACTGAAAGGGACAGTTTAATGATGGAAGCTTCAGGCTCTGTAGTAAACCAATGAGAGAGTTAATGTGGAGTTGAGTTGACCTTCCAGCCCAGTTCACGCCATACCACTCATTCACCGTAAGCAGGAGCTTGCTTTTCTTGTCTAAATGTGTGTGCTGGTGCGTGTGGGTGTGCAAGTGAATATGCATGTGTATGAACATGCATGTTGCTCAGAGCAGACAAGTTTAAGCTCACATATGCTTTGAGAAATGGCAGTGGAGGATATTTTATATTGCATCGTTTTACATTGCAAAGTTTAACTTTGCTAATAGTATTTTCAGTGATTATACTTGGTTGCAGCAGTTGTTTGAGGTTTGGGTTAATAAATAATTTTTAAAAATATTCCAAATATATTTCTCTAGACTACTGAAAAGCATTTAAAAACATTTTTTAATTTTAAGTTCCTAGATACAAGTACAGAATGTGTACGTTTGTCACATAGGTATACTTGTGTCTTGATGGTTTGCTGCGCCTGTCAACCCATCATCTAGGTTTTT